AGAAAAACAAACCCTGTTTGCCTCGACTCCTATTACAAGACAATGAAAAAGTCTATAAGCATACATATGTTAGATTAAACAAAATACACAGTAAGAACCATAAATGTAACACTTATAACAAAACCGTGTCGATTGTATGTGCACTCCATCCTTTGACAAACACCAAGGAACTGCAGACTCAGGACAGTGAGACAAAACACAAGTAAAGCAGATATGTTATTGCTTTTTACCCATAATTCCCCTCATACCTGGAGCACCGCACCCATCTAAAAACAGTCGTCTGCTCAATTCTTATTTGTGGTGAACTTTCACACATACTATAATAGATCCACATGTTTACAGAACTGCAAGTGCACGGATCACCAACGCACAAAAGTTGCTGCAAACACTTTGAATGGAATCCCAATACTTCCAACCGGCTTGAATGCACCCTTGCACAGTGTCTGCAGCTCTGCCAGGGTCTTGACTGAAGCTACCCATACATTCAAATATTTTCTTCGTTCAGCCTGCCGGCTTAACTAATACAGATGCCAACATCAACGCTTACAAACGTTAAATGAGAAATCTCCCGCTCTGCCTTCATTGTATTCTGATGGCGGCCAGTCAGAATACCCGAACAGTCGGCAGCTCATTGGTTACCGGCTCTGTTCATGCAAAGATTTTCCAACCGGCTTCTTCAATCAGCTGATTGAGGGATGCCGCCCGAAGGGGTGCCAACAGCGGCAAACACTATGTGAATTTTGTCCGGTTCACCAAAATTCATAGTGTATGGCCACCTTAAGGAATCTGGTCAAAACACAGCCCAGCATGCTTACTGGACAATAAAGGGACCGCAGAACACTAACGTGGCCAGCAGTCAGCTCACTCTGCACCTTCTCAGATTTTCTACCAACACAAGTGCATACAGAACAATCCGATTAGCCCCAATTCCTATTGTCTACCTTGATCTCCATCCTGGTAATAACAAATAAGCTCTACACTGTAGTTAAACTCATGCAGGGAATTCCTGGTTCTAGCAGTAGTTGATCTCCACTGATCACACAAGTGCAGTGCAAAATTGAGATATTACTGCACATATTAAAAAAGAGATCCTTTAAAGTAGGGTAGGCACACAATTTTCTCTTTTTTGATCAGCAGTCCTCCCAGCTTTAGAAACCAGGGTAAACTTGTTCACAGGTTATATTTAGCGATCTAAACAACTCTGGTGTAAGAGTTTATGCAAACATTTCTGTATAGACAAGAACTCTTCTTTAAGCCAGGGAAGAAAATCTGTATTCATTAAAAAAAGACTAAATTCACAAACTGCAGAATTAAAAAAAAAAAAAAAAAGTCCTAGATCGAACCGCATGTAAATACTCGATTTACACTTTACAAAAAACAAAACAAAAAACCCCCATAATTCCACAGATGAATTTATGTAGTTTTCTAGTGTTTAAAGGAGAACTATGGGGTCAGTGTTTTTCCCCATAGTTCTCCTTGGGGTAACGGGAGGACACAAACTAGCGTCCTCCCGTCACCCAAAGCTCAGTATACTGCGAGCTACAGCTCGCGGTATACTGAGACGCCGCACCTGGAGAGGATCCCGACTTAGATGACGGGATCCGCCCACCTGCGTGAGTGACAGCTGACTCTGCCTATCTAGAGGTAGAGCCAGCTGTACCCGCCCCCTCCCCCGTCCGTTCCGCCAGTCAGCGCTGGCAGATCGGAGCGGGGAGAGGGGAATCCAGCCCTCCCCCTGTCATGGCAGAGAGCCGTGACAGGATCGAGAGGTGAGGGAACCCGGTATGTGTTCTCTCGCCTCCCGATCTACTGAGCCGACCTGTGACAGTCTCATTGTCACAGGTCGGCTTAGAACTATGAGGTGAGTGGAAATCACTCATGTCATAGTTCTCCTTTAACTGAAAAATATAACAAAAAAACGCAAAACATGTACAAAAAAAAAAGACAGCAAAAATTGTGTTATTTGTTAATTTACTGCAGTCAAGTAATGTTTGATTAATAGACTGCAATAGAATGCTTGAAAAAAATGGTACATGCATGAATCTATAACCAGCCTTTATAGCAGGGCGCACATTGGGAAGGCTTACAACAATACAAAACACAAAAATTCCCCAGCCTCAACCTGCCAGCCAGCCTGCAACCAAACAAGTAGCCCTGTCAACAGTATGCGTTAAAATCAGAGGTTTTAGTTGCACAAACTTTTGGCCAAAAATATGTAGAAGCCACACCGCCGCGCCAAGGCACCTCTGCAAAGTGTGGTCTTAACTCTATGTATCCGAGTCTCCAAGTGTGAGCATATTAATGAAGTCGATAGATTGCATGCAGGTGTACCTGGAGGTAGCCAACTCCTCCTAATAAGGTGCAGGGACGCACTGGAGGCCCAGCAACCAAAAATGCACGGTTATAGATTCATGCATGGTTATAGATTCATGCATGTACCATTTTTTCTAGTTTGACTATTTTTGGTTTGGGGGACGCACTGGAGTCCCAGCGTGCATTTTTGGTGATTCCTCTAGTCGAGATCACAGTTTGATTCGGTTCACGACCAAAATCGGTTCGCGACCAGAATCGCAGAATTAATTAAGTTCGCGAACCGAGGTACCACTGTAATTGGAAGCAAAATCGGAAAGTACAATTTCAAGTCAACAGACCCTCCGTTGACTTGCAACTTCCTTCCGATCTTGGTGTGATTGACCCTGAGATTTCTGGCCACTTCTGAGTTGTCAGGCTTCTGCTGTGCTCCTGTATATTACGAAGACAATATGATGTGGTGGGATGTTGCTGCTTCCACCAACTCATGTCCACAAGCTCTAGCAAGTGAAGGCCAGCAGCCACTACAGCTCCCTCCCTCTGGTTTTGGAAGCGGCGGAGAGGTGTAACCTGTTACATGCAGTATGTCACTTCCTACTGTGACATCATTCCAAGAAAATACCTGCCCACTAGCCAGATAGGATAAAGAACAGGGAGGGGTGTCAGCCACGTGACCACAGATAATGCATTAATACAAGTGGTATTCACATAGCGATTTTTATATATACACACATATATAATTATATACATATATACACACACACACACACACACACACACTAACAAAGCAATAATAGAGATGCCATTGGACTGATTGTTGTATAGTCTTTACTTGTACTTTAACTCTGGAAAGGATAATTCTCTGTCCCCACAGACTGTAGGTGGGGAGTGAAGAAATATATATGTAAATGCCTGCATACCCAGAATATACAGCAACACAATAATGTATGCCATCTTAGTTGGTCAATGCTCCCTAAATTCAGTCAGGAGGTTGCTTTCTGTAGCCACAGACAAGAAACTTAGGTAAATATTGCTGTCATGGCCGATGGGAATGTGCCTTTGATAAGCAGGTGGCTGTGGGGGACGCAGAGCAGGAGGGGGTTTGCGAGGGCTGCTAGCAGTTGTCTGTGTCTTTTTTTGCCTAATTAAAAATAAAACAGAAGCAAGATGAGGACTCGGCACATGGCACATTTTAAGAGACATTTGTTAGTGGCAGGCAGAAGCAGCGAACAAGGTGGGAGAAAATGAAGTCACATTTTGCAATCTGTCAGTATACTTTTATGACTTGTAGACATCAAATGCCCCCCCAAAAACACAATTTTCAGTGGAATGCTACGTGTAAAATTGTAAACTGCCGAGTACGTCTTTATTTGTAACTCTGGAAAAAAAAATTGCCTCAAACACAGAAAACTTGGCACTTCAGGGCAAACTGGTCTATACGCCATCATAGGCTGAAGCAGTCCTTTCAATGTGCAGACATGATTTACCATAAAACAGAAAAAACAATTGCTTTTCTAATGAAAGGGGTGGCAGATACTGAATAATGGGCTTTTAAGTACATTAAATAATTTCCCTAATAGTAACCTACCGGTAGCACGTCATACACAGTAACCTACCGGTAGCACGTCATATACAGTAACCTACCGGTAGCACATCATATACAGTAACCTACCGGTAGCACGTCATACACAGTAACCTACCGGTAGCACGTCATACACAGTAACCTACCAGTAGCACGTCATAGAGACAAAATTAGATGTTTTCCCTATTATAGCCTATTCAAAACGTATATTATCCTGTGAAGGGTCCAATATGACCAGCTTCTTCATTTTGTTATTTCTATACCATTGCTCTCTATAATGGGGGATTTCCTACCTACGTAAGGAATATTCCCCTGTGCATATTATGCTGTAATGGACTAAATACCTGTTCTTTCCAACACCAAATCGACGTGTAAGAATTACACAAATAATTCTTAATTGATGTTACATGCAGAAATATAAAGGAACTGCAGAATACCTGCAGCAACATGTGCATTCTTTAAAGACACAAACATTTTAGAAACCAGTAAACCCCTGTAAGACAAAGGGCACATGCCATTGTTTCACTGGTTCCAGCCATCCGTGATATTCTGGGAAATTCTAAACACTTCACATGTAATTGTTGTTTCCCAATCGCTATTGTCTTTAGACCAGGAGAAAAGGGGCACATTCTTTAATCAAAGTTTGGCAGCAGATCCTGAACGCATCCGACGGTGGGAATCCCCTATAATGCTAAAGGCACATCAATGACGCCATCACAAGAATGAATGGAGGGAGGGGTGAATGAAAGGCAAGCAAAGAATATGTCAGAATTTCTAATAACCTCTTCAGTTAAAATTCACTGTTAACAGACCAAGCACAGCTCCTTCACCGGAATAGATCTATAAATTGCTCTTCTACTGGGACAAGCAGATCAACCCGGATTAAAGCAAGCCAACCGTGAGAAAATATCATTTAAACAAAACCTGCATTTCCTTTTCTTTACCAATGGACAAATCCTGCATTTCATTCTCCTTACCCCCTTCGCCTGTATCAAAAGGCACAAGAAAAATGCATCAGCAGCCACAATGAACAGATACAACCCGATATATACGCAAAGCACCTCAATATATACACAAAGAATGACTGTCTTCACTGGAACCACTGAGAACATCCCTGCTGTGTATAGGCATTTTAACTCCTTAATCACCAGAGGCCTGGCAATAAAGAAATGGCCTTGCCATCACCGACATGAGTTTATGAATGGGATAAAACAATCAGTGAACAGGAAGGGATGAAGTGACGGTCGCTGCATACAAATGGCTTACACTCACCGTTAGAGGAGGGGTGATAGAGGCTGATTGATGAAAATCAGCTCTTCCAACCTATGAAGGAGATCATCTTTGTGATGTGCGGGAGCAGGTTGATTTCAATGCAAATCGAATGCTGGATATATTTCACGACGAGTTTTTTTTTTTTTTTCTCTTCCTGTTTAACTGCCTTAAATTTAGCCCCCTCCCCTTTTCTCTTTTTGGTGGCCTTGTGAATGGAGTGCTATGGACTCTGGCTGCCTTTCCTTTGCCAAGATAATTGCTCTGACAAGCTGCTACGAAGCAGGGCAGAGCCCAGCTGTTCCCATCCGCTGTCACACAGAGTTCTGCCAATAGTCGCACACACAGCCACCCACACACACTCGCTCGCTCTCCCTCTTGCTCTCATTCAAAACACTTTAATGGAACAGCCTCCGCAGCTGCTTAAAGACACAGTGTACCTTGCAAAAAAGAAAACAACTCTGCTAACAGTACACAAGAACAATGTAACAGATGCTATGGGAAAACCAAGATACTAAGGCAGTCCAGTTCAAGGGAGAGGAGGAAAAAAAACCTCAAACAATGGCAAAACTTTACAGACCCATGTAGTCATCCCCGTGTTACATTTTCAGAAGTAGCACTCCTACAGCTCTGAAGGCCAACATACGCAAATCCCACTGCTTTGTTTACCTTACCACTACAGACAGGCTCAGGTCCTCAAGGACCTTATAAAGCCAATATTTTGGGTGCTGTCTAAAGTAGGGCTGCAACGAATGATTATTTGCATAATCAATTAGTTGGCCGATTATTTTTTCGATTAATCGATTACTTGGATGAAAAAAAAAAAATCATAAATACCATCCTTCATTTAAAATAAAATACACAAATGCAGTGTTACAAAGTTTACTTCAGAAGAAAGCTGCATGCACAAATTTTTGCAACCGCACTACACTGGAATGCACAGCATTGCGGTACTGTGCGCTCCAGTGCAAGTGATCACACTGTGGGTGAGAGGCGTGTTTGGGGCACGACTGAAATTGATGGCACTGCAACGCAGTTCCCGCAGCAGAATTCGTCAGGCCGAAACCGGAAATGACTTCCCACCTTTTATCAAAAATAACTGTATTGTAAGCACATGGCACTTGAATAGCTTCAGCACGGGAATGACAGCTGCCAGTGGCAAGATTCCGCAGACGGCAGCTGAATGTAAATACAGCCGGTAGTGGGCTGGTGCAATAGCCAGCCTGCTATTGGCCATTTCAAAATGCAATACCAGGCTGGCTACTGCACTCGCCCACTGTTTGCTGTGCCCTCCTCCCAGCGTGGAAAAGAGAGCTAGGGGATACAACCAAATAATCCATAATGAAAATAGAACTATTCTCATTATCGATTTTTCGATTAGTTGGTTGCAGCCCTAGTCAAAAGATTTGCATAGAGAAATAAACTATAGCGTCAATATTTTCTAATGGTAGAAGACTTTTTGATCTTTAAAACAAAAATAGAACAAATTTGCCTCGGTCAGTAATTGTTTTGCAGTGACACTAAACTCAGGAGTTAAATCTTAAAAATGCATTGAAGTACCCTAAGATGTATCTTATTTGTGTATCACTCGGCTGTAGATCCTTTAGGGCCGGTTCACACCACAAAGTCGGCGTTCCAATGGCCGTGCATTGAAGTCAATGGCACCGCAGCCATGCCCCCCACCTGCAGTGCGATCGCCCGCACCTGGAATGCAGCCACTAATTAGTGCCTGCGTTGCAATCCAGTGTGCAAAAATAGTGCTTGCGGTATTTATGCAGAACGCACTGGACTGGAACGCAGGCACATTAGTGCCTGCGTTCTGGGTGCAGGTGATCGCATTGCTGGCAGGGGGGCGTGGCTTCTGTGCCATTTACTTCAATGCAATGCCCCACCCCCTCCCGCCCCTGAAGGCAGGGAGCCGGGCGGCTTGCATTCCAGGAGCCAAAACGCACTGGAACGCGGACTTTGTGGTGTGAACCGACCCTAAATTATCTCTGAATTCATGGTGACCCTGTCCTTCCTTCTGGAGGGGGGCTACTTCACTCCCCATGGTCCCTGTGTGTGTTGTAAAGTAGCCACCACTCCAAGCTCACTCCTCTGATGGACTACAATCTCAATACAAATTAGTAAACTAAACATGAGATTGTAGTCCACCCCGGGAGCGAGCTTGGAGCGGTGACTACTTTACAACACACACAGGGACCATGGGGAACCAAAGTAGCCACCTTCCAGAAGGAAGGACGGTGTCAGAGGCGATTTGAGGATCTACAGCCGAGTGATACATAAATAAGATACAGTATTGTTAATAGTTAAAGGAGAACTATGGGGGTAGGGTGTTTCCCCATAGTTCTACGCAGGGTAACAGGAGGACACAAACTAGCGTCCTCCCGTTACCCAAAGCTCAGTATATCGTGATCTGCAGCTCGCAGTATACTGAGACGCCGCAGCTGAAACAGATCCCGACAATGAGTGGCAATTATCTAGAGGCAGAGCCAGCTGTACCCGCCCCCTTCCCCGTCCGTTCCGCCAGTCAGATCGGACAGGGGAGTGGAGAATCTAGTCACTCCCCTGTCACGGCTCTCTGCAGTGACAGGATCGAGAAGTGAGCGAACGCCGGTATGCGTTCGCTCACCTCCCGATCTACTGAGCCGACCTGTGACAGTCTCATTGTCACAGGTTGGCTCAGATTATGAGGCTGAGTGAAAAGCACTCACCTCATAGTTCTCCTTTAAGGTACTTCAATGCATTTTTAAAATTTAACTCCTGAGTTTAGCGTCAAAATCAAATAACTTGTCAACTGGGCCTGCATGACATTAAAATATGAGGGTACAGACATCTTAGCTGCCATTGCTTACTTTCATATTTGAAACATGCAGGTGCCAGAGCTGTATAATCCTACAACCAGCTTCAGCAAGACCTAGTTAGTCACCAACTTAAAACAAGCATGCACCAAGTGAAGCCAAAAGTCCGAACTTCCCATCCTGTATTCCGGACCTCCAGCTGTGGGGCAACTACAACTCCCAAGAGGCATTGCAAGACTGACAGCCACAGGCATGACTGCCAGAGGCAGAGGCATGATGGGATTTGTAGTTTAATCACAGCTGGAGGGCTGGAGTTTACCTACCTCTGCTGTATACTCAAGGGTCAGTGACTCACTAGCCAGTGCAGCCAAGTCAAAATTAGGCCCTGCACCTTTAACAAAATAAGCACCCAAGGACCGCATCCAAATGTATAGCTTTACAGGTACCCTTTAAGATCGCTGAGAGTCTGTACATTAACAGCTTATCAAGTTCAGAGCAGCAGGCCTGGGCACACACAGTTCCTAATTACATGCAGACCTGCAGGTGTATTAAAGGAGAACTATGAGGTGAGTGCTTTTCACTCACCTCATAGTTCTAGCCGACCTGTGACAATGAGACTGTCACAGGTCGGCTCAGTAGATTGGGAGGTGAGCGAACACATACCGGGCAGAGAGCCGTGACAGGGGACGGGCTGGATTCCCCCCTCCCCACTCCGATCCGCCAGCGCTGACTGGCGGAATGGACGGGGGAGGGGGCGGGTACAGCTGGCTCTGCCTCTAGATAGTCAGAGCCAGCTGTCACTCACGCAGCTGGGCGGATCTAGACATCGATGTTGGGATCCACTCCGGCGTCTCAGTATACCGCGAGCTTCAGCTCGCGGTATACTGAGCCTAGGGTGACGGGAGGACGCTAGTTTGTGTGCTCCCGTTACCCTAAGGAGAACTATTGGGAAAAGCCCTGACCCCATAGTTCTCCTTTAACTGCTAATGCGATAGACAACCCATTTTTGGTTAAAATCATATTAGGGTGGTAAGAGCAGAGTTCCACTAAAGATATAACAGAAGAGGTATTGCTGCACTCCTCACCGGAACTGATGACCTGCAAGATGCAGGTAGGTGCTCGTAGTGACCACGGATGGCACCGCCATGTGCATTTAGTTTGCAAGGATGTCACCAGCACACCATCTTTGTGTAATCAGCAAAAATCTGTTTATTGAAAAACAATTGCCATTCAAAAGCATTTGAATGGCAATTGTTTCTCAATAAATGGACTTTGCTGATTACACAAAGATTATGGTGTGCTGGTGACATCCTTTGATAACGGCAATTACAGAAACCAAAGCTGAAGTTTTCATGAGGTAAGAAGGGTAAATACATTATAACAAAGCATGTATAGCTAGTCATGACTTGTTTCCTTTTAAAGTTTCTTTCAAAATACAAAACTAGACAAACTATTTTTGAACCTGTGTTTTACCGAGCAGCAGACAAAGGAAAGTCCTGCTTAAGTTGTGAGTCTCGCCAACACAGTCGCTTGCAGTGAGATACATGCTCCTCCAGACCCACAAATCCCAGGTATTTCCTGGTACAGTGGTATGGTTTCCAGTGCCGTGGAGGAGTGAAGGAAAGGAAAAATGAGAGGAAACAAGCTGTGTAGCACATAAAGCATAGGTTTGCTTTAAAGCTGAACTCTGGCAGAAGCAAACATGGTCTGAATAAGAGATTTGTGTATTCTTACTTGAATATTGGCGAGCTTTGTGTATTTCTTGCAGATCTGTGCTGTAATCCAGTGTGACATTTTTTAGTGTAGTGTGTAGAAGCTTCCTGTAATCAAGACTGGTCACTGCTGCTCTCTCCTTGTGCAAGGTGACTGATCTCGTCTCCGCCCCTGTTGTAGTTTCCTGTAATGGGTGGGGCAACCTCTGGGTCCCTCCCACAGCTCTTCTCTCTCTACGCAGGCTATGAGCTGCACAGTGATGTCACTAAAAACTTTTATAACGGTAACCTGGTAACCTAGGTCTGCAAAGGTATTTGGTGCACACAGTTAATTTTTATTCTGCGCAGCAATGGAGGAATAGACTTAAATTAAAGTTTTAGGGCCCATTCACACCAGATGCAGTCCGTTGCGTTTTTGAGCTGCATCAAAAATGCAGCACAATGATTTCCAATGAGATTCTGTTGTTCTGTTCACACCAGACTAGTCCAGTCCGATGCAGCCAGAAAAAGCACTGCTTGCACTATTTTAGCTGCATCGAAGCGCAACGGAATGCATCAAAACGCATCAAAAAAGCATGCGAACGCAGCGCAACAAAAAAATAAAAACCCACAGATTTACTAATGTCATCTTCTGGGGACTACCTGTGAGTTGGTAGAGGAGATTAGGAATGGAACAGCTCTGGACATGGATGCTAATCTAATAAATCAAATATCTCTGACCGTCAGAAAGACCCAATAACGACGTTATTATTATACTATAATAACCTCATACGTTGGGTGAGAATGGCTATAGCCAACACTAACACCATGC